CCTCAGTAAAATAAGAGTGTCACATTTAGTTAAAAATTCAGATGTGTGGCCCTGTGATGGACTTGCGACCTGTCCAGGGTGTACCCCGCCCCTCGCACTGTGACTGCTGGATATGGGCACCAGTGACCCACGTGACCTTGAAAAGGAAGAAGCGTGTACAGAAAATGGATGGATGGATGGATGTTGCTGAAACAGCAAGTTTCTCGGTGGATCTGCGCTCATCAATGCAGCCCAGGTGGAGTAGTCGAACACAGATCCACTGATCCTTCAACACAGCATCTTCAGAAGACAAGCTGATAAAATACAGATTTAAAATCTGTATTGTTCCATACTGAGTGTGTATTGAAAAGTTTGATACAGATATATTGTTGCACCCCTTACTGATATGCAATTCTAAAATGTGGGTATGCATTTAAAGTAAACAAAGCACATTTATCTGCACAATGCTCAACAAATCTGAGTAAATTTGTACCAATGCACCAAAACTATTAGATTTCTCCATCCAATGGCTCGCAATTGTTGACCTATTTTCAGGTGCTTCAGCTGGTTAATTCAGCTTTGTGTCGTTTTGTTTTATATTAGACCAAAAAAAAATCATCTAAAAAGGAAAATCATGACTGAAGCTGGAGGTGCAGGCTGTGAGCTGACCTCCGTACGTCTGTCCGTCTTCATCTGACGACTCCCTCTGAAAGTGTCACGCCGCCGCCTGGCGCCTGTCCTCACGTTCACCCTCTGCTGGGGATCCGATCGAGCACCGAGATGCAATTCCAGCAATCTGTGCTGACAGCGTTCACGTTGTCCCCCCTCCCCTGCACCCCTCGCTTACCTCCCCTGTGTGGCTGGAACAGCGTATTCAGTCAAAAAGCTCTCACAGGTCAGAGGAGGTAAGAGAGGAGACAGGCGGGGCTGCAGGCCTCAGAGGAGTCGGTGCAGCAGCAGCAGCAGCGTATTGTCAGCTACCAACTGGAMAGAAGGGATGTATCTAACAGGACTGGGGCTGTGTTTGTGGGAAGCCCCACAGCACTATCAGTACCCCCCTATACTGTACATCTCCTTCCTAATTTGACCCCCAKATTTTGTATCACAATCGGCATTAGAAAACTCCCACAGGCTACAGTTAGGGATCGTTGTCCTCAGCCCGCCTGACTACAGACAGGATGTGGCAGCTTGGAGGCATTCAGTTAAAGGAGATGCATTTTAATGCTGCAGGCATGCATTTAAGAAAGCCTCGCTGGGGTAAAAGTGGATGACGATGCGCCGGAGCCCAGAAACAAACACACACACACACAAACACACACACACAAAAAACAAATTAGCTTTACCTTGTTTCATGGCATCTAATCATTTCTGATAGTCTGTGTACTCATTTTTATAATTAATTTGTTTTCTGGGACAAATTATTTTTGTTTGTTTTCTGATAAATTGGTTTTAAAAATATGAACTGTTCTTTTATATCAAGTGAAAAGTGACGTTCTGKGTGAAGCAATAAACATCAATAAAAAAGTTCACATTATGCCAAATATAACTGAAGACATTTAAAATTAGAGCTGCAGCCCACTTATCTGAGGAGGAACTCAGTAATGTGCAAAGTGACAAGACACTGAAATAATTAGCATAACCTAAAACACAAACAGGCCAGGAGATATAATAAAGACACAAACTTAATAAGAAACACAAAGATCTGCTCTGACTAAAATAAACTTGTGTTTCAGACTAAAAAGTTTAGATGGAATCATTAAAAGCACCACAATGTTCCTATTTATTTACTGTGATTAAAAAATATGACCAAAAATATGAAAATCAAGAGGCCAATCACTGCTGAAGGAACATGTATCCTATTCATTATTTAAATATACTTTATTATTTATACTTTGCACACTCATATTGTTTCAGAAATGTATTCACTTTTAATTTAAATACAGGAAAAAAAAACTTGAACTTTGATTTTTCTTCACTGGTAAATTTGATGTGTGAAACCTTTGAGGTAAAAAAATGGAGGACATGATCTAAAGTCAGATCATCCTGGTGAGGGGCTGCTGGGAGGGAAAGCAGAGCTTGTAGTCTAACACCTCCGTCCAACCGTCACTTTCTGTCTCGTCACATGTGAACACATCACACATTCACCTGGACAGGTAGGAGCCTGGTTTTGACTGACAGGTGACATTTCATTATGGGGGAATCATAGATGCTCAGTACAAATACAAACAGACACGTCACACACACACATGAAGGAACAGAAACAGAGCTTTAAACAGGAAAACTTTGCAGCAGTGTTGCAGAATAAAACTTTACTTTACCATCAATCTACTCAGTATCCTAACAATTCCCAGCAATAATTGTCATGACCTCRTATTCACCCTGGTACAACTGCCAAACAAGGACTGTGTGGAAGTTGTATGTAAGAAATGCTGGAATATTTAAATAGATTTTAAAAGTTATTTTTTCTTAATTTTTTTATTGTTGCTGTTTGTTTTAATCTGCCCAAACTTTCTAATAAAAGCCACTTACTTAATTTGTTGTGTAGCAATACACAATACCTGGTACATACCTGTTTGTACTTATCCAGTACTCACCCGGTACACTTACCTGCCTGTTATGTAACAGGTACCTGTTATGGGGAATGGACTGCAAGTTACTTGTTACTGCTTTGGTATTATGTATACACCAGGTAAGTACCAGTTACATACAGGTATTCACTATACCAGGTATGTAACAGTTTGTGGAATGTATTACTACCAGGTGTGAAGGCAACACATATACATTATTGGAGTTGTCACCTTCAGGAGAAAATTAATTGTTTAATCTATTTCTTGCACTACTTTTTTTAAATTACTAATTTRACCCTTTTCAGGCTTCAACTTTATTTTCTTTTATTTCTTTTCATCATTGTTGGAATTTTAAAATATTCAACTGATATCTCTGTGAAGCTCACGGAAGTATTTTATTTTATTTTATTTTATTTTATTTTATTTTATTTTATTTTATTTTATTTAGAAATTAAGATTATGTCGCATTCACTGATGCAACAAAATGAAAGACTTGATTGGCCGTCTGAGTGGTTTTATTGGTTCTACTTAATGTCAGTCAACGTTTGGTAGGCGGGACTTAACAATTTCATCCAATCACGTTAGGAGCCTGCTAAACTTCTCCTCAGCAGACAAAAACATGGCGTTACGGGAGTTAGCATCGCTAGAGAAATACCTGGGCCTGAGAAAGCCGAATAAATACAGCACACAGGGGGATAAGAAGGTAATATGACGCTTTGCTGTTGCGTCGACCATTCGGTTGACAAAGAACCTTTTTAATTGAAAGAAAGCTTGTAAGCAGCTGTAACAATAATTGCACGGTGGCTATCACTAAATGCTAACAAGCTAAGCACGTCCAGTGTTGACTTTGGTTTTGTGGTTTCTGCTTCTCGGAATATTTTAAATTATAGCCAAGCTTGTTCTGGGATAATCATTAATGACACGTCTCACTTGATTATGTATGCACGGCGGGGGTAGGATTTAAAACACCGGGAAGTGGGTGTGCTCTTCCTGAGATGGCAGACGGGCGATAMTGGAAAAATAGTTTTAATTCTTAAATAGACAAATACTGATGTGAAATCATGAAAAGGTACATAGTTCCCCGTAATAAGCACTTTTGTTTAAATATCTTTTTTGTCCAACCTGCTTTATTATTTGATTCAATCCCTGAGATCTGAGATTGTTTTTATTTTTCTCCTGAATGTTGAATCTGACTGAGCTCCATGTGGACTCCCTGCAGATCCCCGTGCTGCAGAACAACACCACAGCTCCACTGGTGGGACTGGTGACCATCGCCTGTCACCTGGTGAAGGAGTCCAAACGCCCAGAGCTGCTGGGTGACACAGCAGACAGCAGGGCAGTGGTGCAGCAGTGGTTGGAGTACAGGGTGACCAAACTCGACAGCTACACCAGGGAGGACATCAAGACCATCCTGAAGGTAGAGAAAGAACCACAGAGTCAAGGAAACAAGTGCAATCCCAGCGTAACATGTGGAGCTAAATGTATCGAGCGCACAACTTTCCCAGTATTTGATCAATACTACTGCAAACCGTTTTGAATAAATTTATTTGACAAGGACAACTTTAAATGACAATAAAACAAATAAAATAATAACTAAAGCAGTTTAGATGCATAATATGAGCCTCTAGTTTAATATAAGAGTTTATAATGAACTCAGTTTCCTTTAACTTTCAGCCTGTAGCACTAATTTTGGGATTATTTCTTCATTTGAAAACTGATTCACTGTAAAGCCACCTGTTTTTTTACACGTCTTTTCTCTGCTTATCGCATTGGTCAATATGTGTGTGTGTGTGTGTGTGTGTGTGTTTGCCTTGTCAAGACACGAGCAACAGGAATACAGGCTGATGTATGGCCCTTCAGTGACATGGCCCCACGCGACAGAGCAAACGGCTTTAATGTGCCTGACGCCACTCAGCGTGAAACGGATCGTCAGCCACTCGTCTGCTGGACGCTTGGCGCCTCGTGGCACCGTCCTGTCAGCATGAAGTGTGTGTGTGTGTGTGTGTGTGTGTGTGTGGTAGTGCACACTACACAGCGTGACATGCTGTTGTGGCATGGCTGAGGAGTCATGCTGTTCTGCAGCATGTTATCTGGACAGGCCTCTTAAATATTTTAATGGTGCCACTTACAGAAGGAAGTCGCCCTGAGCGGCTCGGCTCTGGTGCCCGGTGGCCCCCCTGTCCTGTCCTGCTGCTTCAGCTGCACCCCTAACAACACTCCTCTTTCAAGCTCTGCAGTCGTCTCCCATTAAATTATCCAGAAGTAAAACAGAGTCGACCGCAGGAGTTCTTCAACTTTCAACCCCCTCGGGATGGAGATAAGAAATTCATACTTTTTTCAAGCTGAGACTTGTTTCTTAAGAAAACATTTAATCACCCATTTAACCTTGTGATCAGTAAATAAGACTAAACACAAAAAATGGCTAAATATTTGGTGACTCTGGCTCATCACGTAAACCAATTATCTCACTACTTAGTTGTTTCTTTCTGCAACACAAAATTGAAATGAGTGTGTTTTTTGTTAAGAAGAAAGCCCCAACACTTGTCTGTACAGCATGTACTCTGGAAACACTCTTTATGGCACAATTGAGAAGAAAGTTAGTCGACCTTTAGCTTTCATCTTTCAGCTTAATCTCTTAAAGTGGCAGATTGGTTAAAATCAGTTTTTGACATTTTAAAACCAACTCAGAATCTCCTACGCTCGCACTGCATCTAAAATAATTTTTACCTCCCACTCCTAAACGAATAACATCAGCTACGTAATACCTGCCCAAGATTCCTGATTTTTAGTTCAACCGTGTTTAATATAATAACTAGAAAAATTGCCTTTCCTGCGAAAATGCTGGTATGAGTGCTTCTTGCTGAAAGCTGCTGAAAAAGAGCTGAAAATATTTAAAAGCAAAAGTGTATTTGAAAAACTGAACCAAGCAAACAAAAAGCCTAACTTTGCAGAAAAACAGTAAAAAGGAGCAAAAATATAGTTGAAAAAGCAGAAAACAGCTGAAAAAAGCCAAAATAGCTGAATATAGCAGAAAACATCTGTAAGGAGCATAAATGGCACAAACTAGCAGGAAAAAAAACATAAAAGTTAAATCTAAAGAATAGCAAAAAGAAGATGATCTAAAGCTGAAAAATAACAAAAAAGCTAAAATTAGCATAAAATAAACTAAAGGTAGCAGCCACAAAATGTAATTAACACCCAGATAATAAAGGTT